GTAGGTAAGCCGTGGAGAGCATGGTGGTATACGGACGGAAGGGCTCATCATCTCAAAGTGTAGATGCGCCCTTCCGCCAAAGGAGCGACGGTATATTTGGAAGGCCCCTCTTAAGCAACTCGCCGAATACATGGTGGTGTACGGCACGTTGCATCCACCTCCTCAGTAGGCGTTTGGTAATTTTTTTGTTTCCTAATTTTAAGGAAATGGGTTTCTTCGATCAACACCACATAGATCCTTAAATTGAGGAAACAGGAAATGCTATGCCCGTTTCCTAATTTTAAGGAAACTGATCTCTTCAAACGACACTCCGTGGATTCTTCAATTCAGGAAACGGCTTTGCTTCTCTCCGTTTCCTAATTCTAAGGAAACAGGGTTCTTCGATCAACACCACATGGATCCTTAAATTTAGGACACAGAAGCGATTCCCTCGTTTCCTAATTTTAAGGAAACAGTTTTCCCGTTTCAAGTATCCGTTAGTCTGTTTCAAGAAAACGTATACGTGGTTCAAGAAAGCATGGTTTTCTTAACTCAACACAATTTTGTTACCTTGGATCGAGATAACTGTTGGCTTGTTCCAAGCTAACACCGTGTTGAAATTAGGAAACTTTTTAAGGATACATGTTTCCTTAAATTAAGGACAAGTTTTTTTTCAGTGTAGGCAAAACGATAGACAAAACAATAGGCAATGCGATAGGCAATGCGATAGACAAAACATGAGGCAAAGCGATAGACACGGCTATAGACAAAGAGTCAAAAGGGAAACGGAACGATTATATGTATTGATGGAAGCAAGTGGTGGTCGTAGCAGTTTTTTTTCCCACTGTGAATATTGACCTCGAGAGTTTTGCTTCCCATTGCTAAAATTCGATGAAACTCAGTCCTAAGGGTTCTGGAAAGAGGATGCTTCACTAAGAAGAAGAGGCGGTTACATAAAATGCACGGCTCTGGGAGGGGTACCGGCGTTGCGATGCGAGATGCGATGCAATGGCGTCCTAGGATAGCAGGCACTCCGAGCCGCAGGTATTAATTAAAGCATGAGTCTTAATTAAGCCCAGCGCTAAATTCATTAAGCTTAAATTAAATGTTTCATGATTTAATGGTGACTTCCAGGAGCACCGTCATTATCGTCTCCACACAAGGGCCTAATTATTAAATTGTGGAGCCCGGTGGCTCCGCAAACAAGTAAATTGGCGGAAAATTCGAGCTTGGAGCCGCGTTATCCTTGAATCAAGATTCAATTTTCCGCCCAAAAACGCGTCGCCGGCGCACACGAAGGACGTTTGCGTCCCCCGCTATTAAGTCCACTCCCCGGAATGGGGAACAGATGTGCCCTTTGCTTAAACAATAGAGGGGGATTCTTGGATATTAACGCATCATTTAGACGAAGAGGCTGGGACTTATGGAAACCTCGACCTCCAGGCGGCGCTCAAAGGATGCTCCCGCTCCCTATACTGCCGTGCTAAGGAAGAACGCCGTATGAACATTCGAGAGTTGCCAAATTTCCTTTGATAAAACATGTATTTTTGATGACATTCTTGGATATTTTCCCTTGAAATTTGCAGATATTTTAGCTTAAATTGCGCACAAAATTGTCTGAAAATTTCGGAAAATAATATTCACGATTTTCCCGGAAAATTCGGTTTTTATTGGAGGGAACTTGGCAACGTCTGAAGGCTCATACGGCGCTCTTCCTCAGCGCGGCAGTATATTCCATTGCATCTTCCGTTTGCTTTTGCTCAACAGTATATTCTTTGTACTTTATGGGTCGCAGACGCTCCTGGATGATGAATTTTTCAAATCCGTTACTTCATGATTTACACGTTTTTCAAATCGGTATAAACAAAGTGAGATGTATCGACGTATTTCCGTTTGCGACGTTGCAAACTTCATGTCATGTTTTTTTTAAAAAAATGGATAACATTTTGAAAATAGGAACTACAATTTCTGGCTCGGTTAAGAAACAACGGAAGGACCATTAGTTTCCATATGCACAATTGCAGCACATGAGTGTTCCTACGGATGAGCCAGAAATTGTAGAATTGTTGTAAATTGCAGTTCAATTAGTCAACGTAATGTCTTGAATACTTTGAGTTTTCAATAGGGGCTCAGTTCTAAAGGCAGAACCGTTTTATGATCCTCGTGCTAATTCTATTTCTACTAATCGAAGTCCTGTCCTATTCAGGGCCGGATTAAGGGGGTGGCTACATGGGCCGCGGCCCATGGCGGCAAATCTAAGGGACGGCAAAAATTTGCAATTTTTTAAGTGTAGGTATAAAAAAATCGGATTCATAAAAATAAAATTACAAACGAGAAAAGACGACAAAATCTCTCATTTCCTGAGAGTATAGTAATTTCTAATTTTGTTGTCTCTTAGTGATACAAGAGACGGCACCCTCAATAAGCCGAGTTACGAGAGAAACCAAACATGCAATTTGGCCTAGAACGGCGCGACTTAGAGAGAAATGATAACGAGGACTTGAGATGAAAAGGAGAAGCCCTCGGCGCGGCGATCGGCATGTAACATATATTGGCGCCTACAAGACTGCACGAATACTTCACGCATTGCGTCCAACACAGTGCGGTCATTGCGGTCAGCGTGAAACGGATAGCGCCTACAAGAATGTGTGAATACTTCACGGATTGCGTCCAACGGTCCGTCCGGTGCGGTCTACGCGGCGCGGCGGTGGAAGTTAAAATCATGAATCCACATTTATGTTTATTCTCTCATAATTTTTTCGTTCATCTCTTATGAATGGAAGGCCTTGTCCACCCAGAGATAGGTTTACGGAACTTAACTTTCGCGCAAAGTTAAGAACTTTTGCGAGTAGTGTTGACAGGGCTTTCCCAAAAAATGTGTTCAACACGAGTGAATGCGTCTTATGCACCCCTCCTTCGTTCACGTTCACGTGGCACGTTCATTTGATGGTTTTTGTCGAGTTTCAGAACGAATGAGAAGGGGGCGGCAAAATATAGGTGGCCCATGGGCGGCAAGTAGGTGAAACCGGCCCTGGTCCTATTATCAACTTAAAGCACATACACCACTGTCTCAACACCGAAAACATGTCCATAAGTTGAAGTTACCAAATGAGCTACAACTGACCGAGCCGAATCTTTTCATTTGAAAATTTCTTTTCAAAATTTTTCAAATTTTGTTTTCAATAAAAAAGTTTTTATTTTCGAATGAAAACATTTTTTTTCGGATGAAAGAATTTTATTTTCCCATGAAAAGATTTTTTTCAAATGAAATGATTATATTAGCACTAGCACACCACGAGGGCAGGACGGTCCCAAGGAAAAATATTTTCATCCGAAAAGAAGAACTTTTCATTCGGAAATAAAAACTTGTTTTTAATAGAAAAGTTCTTATTTTCGAATGGACGGATTTTTTTTTTTTTCGGTTATGAAGATTTTATTTTCCCATGAAAAGATTTATTTTTCGAAAGAAAAGATTCAAGATCTAGGGAATATACTGTAACATCAAAGTTCATGGAAGGAGATTCGATCAATCCAACGCTGTGTCTGAGGCTCGACACCGCGTTTGGAGAATTCGTGAGAATGGGAAAACTTGTGCACATATTCAAAAGTTGAAGTCTGAAGCTGTGCTTTCCGCCGAGTCTTCTGCATGTTTAACCGTGAGTCATTCCATCCCATTATTTTTTTCGTCGACTTCTTGTTTTTCGCAGGCACTACATTTTAAAATAACAGTCGCGGTAATGACGAAAACTTCGATAGTGCCATCATTATTTTCGTCGCGTGTACGTTGGGGAGACACATCCTGCTTCGTTTTTCTTTTTTTCTTTTTCGTTTTTTTACGGCCCTTAAAAAAGAGAACTTGAGAGCAGGTGAAATTCACGGATAAAATAAAACAAAACCAGCTCCAGACGATACGTAGTACAGTAATGTGACGCAAATATACAGATTACACGTGTGTACATTAAATGTTATTTACATTACACGTAGGTACAAAAAAATACACAATTGAAACCGTAATGCTCTCGATCTAATCACTTCTTATTAAAGAAGAAAAAGAAGAGAAAAAGGGTGCAATCCTGTAAAATAATACAAAAAATTCCTCATTCTCAAAATATTATCTTTTATAATAAGAAGAAATTTTATTTGAGTAAAAGTGTTACCAGATCTGTGAGAGGGGACCTTATCTTTGGGGAGAAAGTTTTCCTTGACTTTTTGCAAAAATGTAAACCACGTTTTTCCACAACGGAAGGATTTTCGTTTCAGAATTTCAGGACTAATACCTCCTTCAATTTTTAAGATTTCAGGGTAAAATTTGTGCCAAAATGCCCCAATTTTCTTGCTTCGCACATTTGCAAAAAGTTGAGAAAGATTCTCTCCAAGTAGATAAGGTCCCTTTTATGGATCACGAGATAAATTGAGGGGCTTGGAGGACAAGGCGCGTAAGTGCAGTTTCCACTATTTCGAGAAATAAATGTTTAAAGTTCCGAAATTACATAGATCCTTATGGCGGAAAGAAAGTTCAAACTGACTTTTTGATATCTAAAAATTGGAATTTGGGAGCGAATTTTTCACAGAGTAAATTTTAAGACTAGTTTCAGTCGAAATCATTAATATATCAATTTTTTTAAAAAACTACACTAATGCGGTTTGTCTTCCAAGCCCCTCAATTTCTCTACCTCAAAAGTATGTTCTTCAAGTAGAAGAAAATTATTTTAATTTTAACGTTTACTCATTTTATTCATTTTTTCTATGAGCTCTATCCAATCATTCTCCATCCATCAAATAATCAATAATATGTGATCCACGGTTTTGCAACGAGAGGCTTCGTCCCCTTACAAAGTTTTTTATTGAACTGGACTGCATTTTGAAATTTGGAACTATACATTCTGCCGCATCTGATAAAATACTTATGTGCATAGGGAAACTAATGGCACATACGTTATTTTTAAACCGGGACGGAATTCATAGTTCCTGATTGCAAAATGCAGTCCAACTAACATTAGCAAAGTAATTAAAAACATTACCTCCTCGTGCCGGCCACTTCAACAACTTTACAGGAACTAGGTTTCCACCAGGACGGACGAAGCATCCAGTAAGATGAGGCTGCGCTTCGAGCCCAACCCTCTTCTGGATATAGTAAGACCTGCAACAGTCGAAATTCAATGTTAAATTCGAGAAATCAATTAACAAAAGTGCCTCATTGCAATTAAGAAGAGGCAGAAGTTCGACATCGATTGCCAGACGGTTTAAGGGGGATTCAAACGGGAATGTTGCTGAACAAATACTCATTATCGGTGTTAAATTTTGAGCGTCGAATGGAATCCCTGCGAATTGAAGTGGGAAAGGACTCTGCATTGTTGTCAAAAATTTGGCGCAGCAATGCAAAATTGTCGATTTCCTTGTATTGTTTCGATTATTAATTTATTTATTTTCTCGGGGGCAATATTTAAAGTTTGATTTTATTCATGAGTAGACATCATTATCGGTGAGAAGAAGAAGAAGAGGGGAAAAAACCACTAAGAAGTGGCCCGAATATTTCATGTACAAAGGTGGAGAAATGGTGCTGGGTCCACACCATTTCGCGGGGAAATCAAAGCCAAGAAGTTCTAAAAATTATAATCAGAGTCAAAATTATGTATGTTTTTTTTTCTACTATAAGTACTATCACTATAAGTATACAACCGTGTGGTTCCTTCCTGCAAAATGTAATCTATTCGATTTTGTTCGAGAAAAAAATATACACAGGTAGAGATGGATTTCTAAACTATGAAATTTCCATTTCTACCTTCATAAGGCATCATAATGAGAGTGATTTGCTTAGTTTTCACCGTCGGTATTTACATCACAAAACATAAAAAAAAATTTCCTCCGAAACAAGTGATGAGATGGAGAGACTCTATCGTGAAAAAACAAAATGAGATAAAAAAAATTTTTAAAAGGCCGCTATACATATAAATATTTACCAACCGAAATCATAAGATCTTTCAGGCTCAAAATTGGCAACAGCATCGAGTACATCTTGAAACACAGCTTCAAACGCTATTAATGGCACTCAGTCTGAAGGTTCATCAGCGGAACATCTTAAATCAAGTGTCAGTCTAAGCGAAGGACATTTTAATGATGAGACCTCTACAGAGCGTTAAGATTCTCTAAGATGCGTGATCGCTGAAATTTTAATAAACGGACGAAGCCTCGGGCACTTCATCGAGCCGAAGCTAGACAGGAAAAAAGTCGCTATTAACGCAGCAATTAAAAGTTGGACCCGCGTAGTTCGCTGTGCCTTTTGAAAATGAGCATAATTACCGGCTGAAATGCGATTCATGTCCGCTCTCACAGAGTGGGTAACTTATCGTTTCAACTAACTGCTCCGAGGGATTTCAAAGCATCGCGGCAAAGATAGCGGAGGCCCCTTGAAGACCAGCATCTATGCTGTCGCTCTCAGGAAAAACGTCGTATGAGACTTCAGGCGTTGCCAAATTTCCTTTCGGAAATCACTAATTTCCAGGAAAATTTGTGAATATTTTCCGCCAAATTTCTCAGATAATTTTGTTTGTAGTTTGCTCTAAGGGTTCTGCAAATTTCAGGGAAAAATATGCATAACTTTTCTAAAAAAAATACATGTTTTACCCGGGAAATGCGGCAACTCTCGAATGTTCATACGGCGTTCTTCCTCAACACGGCAGAGCACCTATGGCATGGATCCTGGTTAGTTTTGAATGAAAATTAATACGGATCTCGTAAAACTTTCCCGACGCAAAGTTGCAGGAAAACAGAGGGGGCCGAGTATAAAAAATTGAGTTTGTCCGAGGAATTTCCCTATCACGGTGAGGAAGTTTTGCGAAAGAGGGAAAGCTTTGCCAGCCGAGTCGTCGGCTCTACTTAGATTCACTCTACTGAGTTTATATTGCTTGCATTTCTCGAGACCACGTGTATGTATGAGTTTGAAATTTGTATGAAATCTGAGCCAGATTTTATACTTTGTGAAGGCCCCTTATTTCGTGATTTTTTCCCTTTTTTTCTTCGTCTTTTTCAAAGAGAATTTTTACTGCAAATTGTCATTTTGCAGGTAAGGAAACGTAACTCTGCTTTGAAATTACAAAATTCACCCAGACTTGATTCAAACATCTTGAAACTGGGAATTTTCTTAGGTAACAAAAAACGCACACAAATTCAGTGAGGATTGCATGGTTTTCTTGTAAATATTACAAGAATGTGCCAGAAAAATATATGCAGGCAAAGTTTTCTTCATGTGTATTCTGAATGTAATTATATCGTATCATCAAGAACTGTCAAAAACTACTGCAGGCGTTTACTTACATACATTTCGAAGTTACGGTCAGTTTAGATTTTCTATCAATAGAACAACAAAGTTATCTTTCAATTTGTAATGCCATTGACCGTGAATAAAAGAGAATAATGAGGAGAAGATAATGATAGGTGCATCTACACATGACTAACTTGCAAAGAGGCACTTTTAGTCAGTGTCGAACCAACGGTCTCTCGATACTCTCGATAGTCGTCGTCGAGTCGATGACAACGCCTGGATGCAACTATTACTGCTCTTACGTTGTCTATGTTGCATACGTGGACACTTGAAGGCGTTTTGATTTTTTTGCTCTCTCAGCGACGTGCACTTGACATGACCAAGATAACACGGCTGAGGAGATGCTGCACTGAACGACAATGGAGATATGTCACCTCATTTTCGCTCCTTTCCGTCGTTTTCCATGAAAGAAGGTAACTATATTCGAACGTTACAAAATTTCCTCTTAGAAATCGTATTAACCGGGAAACTACTAAGCATTTCTAACTGAAAATTTCACTAATTTTCCTCCGAATTATACGAAAAACCAGCAGAAGTTTAGGACAGATATTGCGCACTCAATCTACCTGATATTGTTCACTGCTTAAATAGATTGAACGCTGAATTTTACTTCTGGCATTGAGTATTATGGAGAAATATAAGTTAAAACCTCTGTTCGATCTTAAGGAGACTTGGTGTCGACATTTTATTACATAAACTCGATCCATTTTGTGAGGTCATAATTGTACAGAAACTGGCGTGGGTGACTAAAAATTCCTTTGCTTTACCAAGCTGCAAAATTTCAATAGACGATTAACTCAGTAATTTTCACCACTCTTTTCAACGATTCCTTGCACAAGATAATTTTTATTTTTTTTAAACGAAATCTATTGTTCCGACAACGGTGGCTGACGAGGGGATTTCCGAATCGCGCCATTCTCTTTTCCATCAATGATGTTAAAAGGGGGAACGTTTTCATTCCGGGTTCAAAGATAGGGAGTCAAACGTGGAAACAGAGACAGGGGTCTGTTTGGGGTCCGAGCCTTGCATTGCGGGCAAACTGCTCCTCGAATCTCACCGATTTTATACAGGCCTGTTGCAAACTTCTGCTAGAGCAGAACTAAAAGCACATTTTTTCACTCAGAACGTAAAGTTAGGCGTGAATTTCAAACTTTTCCGATGTGCTCGTGATTTTTCCGTCATTTTTCTTAAAAGACAACTCTTCAATGAGGTGAGAAAGCATGCAATAGTAGATAAGCTCAAAACGAAGCGTCACTCCTAATTTTGTCAAGAAGAATTAATTCCATTGGCCTAGCCAAAGGAGATGCTGGAAGTAGATTAATATAGAAATACTAGATTATAAGAAGTTAGTCTGTAATTTATTTATAAGACACTCTGTGTAATCATTCCCATTGTAACCAAAGATAAATAAAGAATAATTCACAAAAAAAAAAAAACTCTTCAATGAGCTCTTGCAAAAGTTTGCAACACAGCCGCATTTATGTTATTTTTCTGTTCAAATGTTCGAAACAGATATTTTTACAACTTCCTCTTGAAAATTTCTCGTCTACAGAACATAATTAAATCTGTATATGAGAAAAAACAAGTAATTTTCTCTCTGCAATTATTATCTTATTTCAATATTATCATGTGATCATAAATGACAGTGTTTGTCCTCCAGTTATTGATTTCTCATTTTTCTCAGTTTTGAGGGATTCATCGTGAAGGATTCATAGGACTCATTACATCATTCTCATACTCTGCTCCTTCAAAGTCAGGGAGTTATACATCATGTTCAAGAACCTTCTTTTCCCTTCAGCATAAGTTCGCGAGAGACCCATTAATTAAAGAGGGATTTATGGCCCCAATTTGGCAGTGCGTGGCGGGGCGGTGGTCCCCGGCGAGGGATTTGAAGCTGCTCGCTTCATTTATTAGCCAGCCCCTGCACGTACGGGATTAAACTCGTTCATAATCATTTCAGTTAAGGCGGTAGTTTAGCCAGCTAACGAAGCGGCGACTAGAATCGGCAATGGCGGTTTCAACTCGGATCCAATTCAATTGGAAAACTTTAAAGTCTCTAATTGTTTCCCGCGCTTCGAGCCCCGTCTTTGTCCCCCCGTGAGCGGCCTGGGCTGCCGTGCTGAGTAAAAACGACGTATGCGCCTTTAGGCGTTGCCACATTTCCTTTGACGAATCACGAGTCTTCTGGAAAATTTATGAATATTCTCCTCTCGATTTTCCGGAGAATTTTTTCGATAATTTTATCTAAAATATCAACAAATTGCAAGGAAAAATATGCATGGTTTATTTCAAAAATAGATATTTTCTGAGAGGAAATTTGGCAAAATCCGGATGCTGAAACGACGTTTTTCCTTAGTACGGCAGTGTGCAACTTGGATCCGAAGTTTTCTTCGGCTCCGTAATTTGCTCAATCGATGCGTGTGGGTATGAGAGCTTTGAGTGATAGTGAACTGTTGTGATTGATATCAGGATCAGCCGAAGCCTCGTTCGAAGCAGAGTCTACCATCAGCCACATTCATAGAGTCGTGTTCTTATTAGTTCCTCGAATTTATTGGAGGGCCCAACGTGGTTTTCACCGTGATTCAGGGCGGTTCGAGGAGGTTTTTTTTACACAGCGTCATGTAGGGGAAAATCATGAAAAATCTTTAGTGAATGTCAATAGCTAAAGTGCGAAACCACGTATCTCCATTGCCGTGTAACAAAATCTCTGTTCCTATTATATTTTTTCCATGAGGAGCAAATCAACTATATACCTTGAAATATATAAGAAATATTGCGCTAATAGAGAAGAAAAATCTAGGAGGCTCTTAAAAAATTAA